GGGAGTGAAGACTGTCATTATTCTCCTTACTTGGATGTGAGAGAGAACTCAGAAGTGCACTACTTATACCAACTAGAATTCACTGTGAAGAGGAAAAACACTGTTGGGTCACAATATGAAAGATTGGAAGGATCCTGCACTGGAAAGGCTAGTCTTACCCTGGTCCTTATGATGAGTTTAGTGCCTTAAAGTTAGGTTTGTGTGTTGTTCCATGAAGATGCCTTTTTATTAGGGTGCCAGCCACTATATGACTACAATAGTACTAATAGCAATATGGGATGATGGGTCCATCTTACTATGAAGCAGTTTGTTAGTAGGTCCATCTTTGTATGAACCAATTTGAAGAAAATTGTGTATGGTGGGAAAAGATCTCTTACAACATTGTTTTAAGTTGATAAAAAGGTAATTTGGCTATATATGTGTATAACACAAGGTTTAAGACTACATAGTAAGAAAACAACTTCTCCTTTCATTGGTGCCTTGTTTAAAATATCCAATTCCATGTTGCAAAAGGATATGCTGGTAGATCTTCTGTTGGAAATCATGACTCTTTTGCACCGCATTTTGCTAACAAAGTTGCTCAAAACTCTACAGGTCTTGAATTTTCACCGATGGCATCATATTGTCATCATAATCAGAGCTTCTTTTGGTCTATGACAAAGCGACAACATATTACCAGGAAGTCCCTATGCAGACCAGAACCCTGAGTGATCAATGCCTCACTTTGGGAAGGATAATTGTGAACAGCCTCGAAATAGCGATGATGTGCTGTCTCCTTAAGAGGCCCTCTAACTATTGGCCATATGTAACTATTGCCCAAACTCCAAGCTTTCCCTTTGGTGTTGCTGAGAAGATAGTGAGTTATAGAATGCTCTAAATCAGTGGTTCCCAAACTTGGCAACTTTAAGACTTGTGGACTTCAACTCCCAGAATTCTCCAGCCAGCAGAGCTCTGCTGGCTGGAGAATTCTGGGAGTTGAAGTCCACAAGTCTTAAAGTTACCAAGTTTGGGAACCACTGCTCTAAATCAATGTTTCTTAATTTTACTCTCTCAGGATCCTTTCCCACTTTTAAAAATTAAGGAGGACTCTAAAAAAACTTTTGCTTGTATGGATTATATTTATCAATATTTACAATAGCTGGTGCTATTGTTTTTCATGATTTTTTGATGGGATTTTAATATTATATTAGATAATATTAGAATATCTAGAATATCTAATAATATTCTAATAATATTATTTTTTTCAACATAGAACAGCAAATCATTTTAATTTCAAAGTCTCCTCAGAGTGTCTTGGATCTCTAAGATCATAGGACCAAATTTTAAGAAACATGCTCCAATTGAAGAAAATAATCTAGAAATATCTAAAAGAAGAGAATTATCTAGACTTTTTCAGTCTGAATACAAGTCTGGGATGAAAATGGTATTGGTTCTGTTGGTAGATAACCATTGTTAGGAGCTGAATAGAAGGTGTGTGCCTCTTATGATCTGATGATCGGTCTTTGTTTTTATTATTGGTTTACTGTGTTGTTTTATGTGGATGTATTGCTGCTTACTGATGCTGGTCTATGAAGTAATAAAGTAAAAGATTTACTTTATTACTATGAAGTAATAAAGAATTACTATGAAGTAATAAAGTAATAAAGATTTGATTTGATAAGATGTGCTGTTTACCGATGATGTACCAAATGAGTGACCAATTAAATAAATAATCTTTAATGTCCTTCAATACCATTGATTCTGGTATCTGAAGAATAAAGGAGATGACCTTGACAGATCCTTTACCAAGTGATGAAGAAAAAAAGTATGGCTTAAGTCCAAAACAAGCAGAAACTGCATGTAAGTGTCTCAGACAGACAACAAATTCATGTGGATATAAAAAAGGGGAGGAGGCACAGCACAATCAGACTTGAAAGCTTGTTATTATAGCCAATCTCAATAAACGTCTTAGTCTTCTGGGGTTGATTTGTGGTTTGGTCTAACTGGTAGAACACTGTTACTTTTCTACCAAAGTGCTTTCAAACTTCTGGTTGGCAGGACCTAGAACAACAAGAAGATCTCACCCAGTCCCCTGGTACTCAGGTCTCAAATCTGGGACATCCAGCTGACAGCTTCTTAACCAGTGAGCCATCATGCTGCTCAATAAATAGGTACCACTTTGGTGGAAAAGCAGTAGTGTTCCATGATCGCATGCTGGCCATAGGACCACAGAAAGGTGTTCAAACAGTCCTGGCTCAATGGCCTTGAACTGGAGATAAGCTCTGCCCTCTAAAGTGGGGTATGGCTAGTGGAGTAAAATCCACAGAGACTCATTAACCTTTTTATCTATGGTGGTGGCTGACACTGGATTGGACAGTTTTATAGTGATTCTACTCCTTTCTCAGGAGGTTTTGTGAAAGAGAAAAGGCTAGCTCAGTGGCCTTCTCTAACTAAGAGAAGGCTAACTGTATGCTGAGAGTTATTTACAGGGTGCCTATATGTTTTCAGATGCATTTGAAAGTCCTTTTTGTAATCTATATATTTATATGGTTTAGTGCCAAGATATTTCCAGGGAAAAATTCACCAACCAAAACCAATTCAACTTCTTTTGTGTCTAGATCAAACTTTAGACTGCCAAAACAAAGCCACCAACATGTACCAACAATGATACATCCAGCCATCTGACCTTCCAGTTTCTGACACACATGCACATGTGAAGACCAGCTGGCCAGTGCAGATGCATGCAGTGGAAACCAGAAGATCATCGTCCCAGCACATGCATGCGCACCGGGCAGATGCTCTTCCGGTTTCCAGCGCTCCTGAATGCGTGATGACCAAGTGGCCAATGCGGCAAAACCCAGAAGAGCAAGGGGGGCAGAGCTGCCAGCCAGAATGGGTGGGCCAGAGCTTCCCTCCCTTCCTGCCTGAGCAGGCTTCTTGCATGGCCCCAGCCCTCCACCCTGCATCACCAACGCACATCCGCAGTCCAGAGCACCTGAACAGCTTGGGTGCACAGGGTGCGGGGCAGTGTTTACTGGCTGGGTTGGAGGCCACCCCACCCTGCTAGGGGTAAGAGACATGCCAGCCAGGATGCAGAAAGGCACCGCCGAGGGGTATGAGGTGTACCGGCCGGGAAGGGGCCAGGAAGGGGGGGGGGCTGCCCTGGCTTGTTCTCAGTGGTGGGCTGGGAGGGGCACTTCATCCTGGCCAGGGTTGAGGTGAAGCTCTAGTGCCTGCTGACCCCCCAACCTGAGCCCCGGGAATGCCTCCAAGGCCGGGAAGGGGATCCAGCTTTCCAGCAAAGGGAGGCGGCACTGCCCACCCAACTTTCTCTCCCTATCCAGGGATGTAGAACTAGGTCATCAGTAGGGACCAGGGGGGCGAGCAGAGAGGGAAACCAAAAAATCATCTGCTCTTCTGGTCTCCAAAACTGGGCACGCTCCTGTTTTGGCACTCAGTGCTGAAAAGGTTCACCAACACTGCCCTAGGGATATACATCTGGTGGGACCCAGAAGAAGGGCCTTCTCCATGATGGTCCTCTCTCTAGAATATCATTCCTCCAGAGGTTAGATTGGCCCTCAACACTCTTCTGGAAGGGGCTAAAGACCTGGTTCTGCCCGCATTCCTGGGGAATGCCGAGCAGGATGGAGCCCATTAAATGGCTCGTGTGATATGTTGTTGCCGGGGGAGGGTTATTTTATTATATTATTTATTAATGTATTATATGATTATTCTGTTTTATTAGTTTTATTGTTTTATATATGTGGTTTTTATATTGTTGTAAGCTGCCTTGAGTCACCATGTGTGAATAGGCAGCAATATAAACTTCTGAAATAAAAAATAAAATAAAAAAATTTAAATAAAAAAAATAGCTTTCTGATTTTGTCACAGGATAATATGGCAGGTCAGTTATAAAGAATTTACAAATCTATACCTACCTTTCCTGGCTTGGTGCTCACAATTATGTTAAAGTACACCTTCCAGAATTCCAAGTTATTTGACTAATAGGCACACTATGTTTAGTGAAATTATAATCAATATATCTGAAAGGTAATGAGGCTATTACTGTTTACTAAACGAGTTTAAAAAAAGAAACTTATTTATGTTTGAGAAGAACAGAAAAAAGAAGCAGATATGTTTGATTCCTGAGATACCAATAAGCAATTAGATATACTACTAAGCTAAAATAGCTTTGGAGAGAAATATAGAAGCCAATAAATGTTCCTGAAAGAAAGAGGAGGAAGAAATTTATTGGCTGATGCACAAGAAATGGGGACAAAAGCAGTTAAGTTTGTCAACAGTTGGGTTTGCTTTGGGCACTTCAGTGCTAATCTGTGCAATTGGCAACCATGGACACAAGTGCTAGTGAAATCTGAGAGGATCAAAGAGAATAAAACAAAGAAAAAGACTGTAAGTCAAAATCAAAGAACAAAATCACCACATGTAATTCATTCATGAACGATAAAAAGTCCCTTATTTGAAGGTGAATCCTATAGTTCATTGGTTAGTTAGTATGTCATGTAGCTGCAAATGTAGCTAATTCAGGACAATTTCAGCCAGAACTGAACATAAATGATAACTTAACATAACATGCCAAAGAGACTCCTGCCAAAAATTATGTGCGTCAGTTCTGAGCTAGATAAGCCGATTCTTCTTTCCTTCGCACATTAAAGGGGGGGGGGGGAGAGAAGTCTGCAATCAATTAATTATTTCTAGTATAAAATGTAGCTTTACTTATGTAAACAAAAGGTGGGCAACAGAAGCAGTGTCTCCAATATCACATTAGCGACACATCTTGAGTTGGTGTTTTTTCCCCATAGTATTTACATGTAACCTACCTTTCTTCTATGATGCACCTCACAAGCAGGTTCCAATTCTCCAAGAACTGAACATATAAGACCTGCTTTGATTAAGCAAAATGGCATACTAGGTACCTCCAGGAATATATTCTGATATAGTGTGTGATAAATACACAGCTCCCAAATGACTGCATGTATTTTATAAATTCAAAAGCACATTACCTTCACGTTGGTGTGCACAGCTGATTCTGGGGGGTAGACAATGAAATGCCGGAGAGTGAAGCCATAACCGCCCTGAAGGTTCTTGTGCAGCACCACTGTCTTCGGCCCCACCCAGGGAAAGGACTCCATGGGGGGCGCATTGGCATTTGTGGCTGTACCATCTCTCTGGACCAGTTTTGGCTGTTGTTAAAAACAAAAAAGAGAAGAATGAGCACAAACAAGCAAAGTTCCAAGAGATATCAGGAGAAAGATAAAATCACCCCCCCCCCAATGTAAATACTTGAACACAGAGTTTTGGTGATTAAAACAGACTATATTTGGCTAGAAGTACTTTTCCAAAGATGGGTTGAGAGAGAAACAATGTTTTTAAAGGCCTTGGCAGTAGATACTCATGGAACACATCCAGCTCCTCAATTCTCTGGCTTCAATGGCTCCTTCCTGACAGAAACTCTTTTCTTTTATGGGCCGAGGGCTCTAGGTTAGAGAGAGAGAGAGACTTCAACTTTTCCCAGTGAATCCAGTTTGTTGTAAAAAGAATAGTATTGTTCCTTCAACCTGTTATAAAGTTATGGAATTTTTCTATTGAATATATCATTTGCCAAGAGTTTATTAAGTTGGAGAAAAGTAAGATTAAGAGTGAAATAATGTTTTCTAAGGGAGGGAGGGTTGATTTTTTTTTTTACTGTATTAACTCTGAATATCATAACACATTTGTCTATCTGAAAAATCATGAACTTTTGCATCCAGAATGAGTTTTACATCATTTACTGGAGGCAGAAAAGAACAGAAATGGGCAGAATTGAACCCTCTGACTCTTAACAGGTAGGAGCAGATGTAACGACTAGACCCTGTGCATGGTCCATATATATATCTATACCTCAAATAATTGTTTTTGGAATGAAATAAAATAAAATAATCTCCAATTATACCTTCCAGAACTTTTTCAAAGTAGAACTGCATTTATGTTATCCCTGGATTGGTTTGGCTTCTGTATGATTGCATAGTATCATATCCATTCTGCAATAAATCAAATAATTTCCAGCTTCATTCTTACACCCTAAAACCACTGTGGATATAGTTTTGTCAATTAGTTTGAAATTTGGCCAGACTTGTGTAAGAATGACTTCCTTATCCTCTGTCTTAACCTCTTTTCCCTCAGTTACAAATTGCGCTGCCACATTATCATCCTCAGACTAGCCTTTTGATACTGAACAACCAGTCAGTTTTCTTTTACATCACCAACGGGAAAAATCAGTATGAATTAAGGATAAGGGAAAGTGGGGGGGAGTTGCTGCTTGGATTCTGATTTTTTTTTTTCATTCCTGTATTTGACACCAACACTGTTAAATCTGCCAATCTAAGTATTCCCAGGATAACAATCATGGGGTCAATAGTGAAGTACTGTCAAAATGATTGTTAGAGTTGCAATATGAAGGTATGGACAAGTACACTAATACCACTAATACATTTTTCCCAGTGTCAATTTCCACTTCAGTCCTAAGTATAACAATACCCCTTCACAATTTGTTCAAGTCAAATGTAACCTGTTTTTATAATCTTTTTTGGTCCCTGACACAATAAGCAGTAGAAAGATAGAATCATGGCCTAATCTATTCCTTATCAAATTAAGGAAGTTTCCATTTTTATATGATTATTATTGGTTTCTAAGCTTTAAGATAACAAAGGACAGAAGCCCCTCCAAAAACAACTGGACATTTACGAATAATAAGGACCTAGAGACAAAGGCTGTTGAACATTTGTTGAATATAAATTGAACACTTCTGATACTAGTACGTGCTTGGAGAGAGGGGGAAAGTATGCCTGACAATACCCTCAAATCCCAAACAAGAAGTTGGATTTAAATACCTATTTCCCACAAAAAATCCAACTACTGAACTCCTAATATTTTGAGAGCCCATGTAATAAAAAGGATCTGCTTTTTATACATTGGATTCTTTCCTGAGAAACAGAGAAACATCCGCATCTGCAATTTCACTTTTATCATGCACTGAGTTCTCAGTTCAAACTTCTAAAAGATGGAAGGAAACAGCATGGGAACAATACAGTAGTGCTTGAAAATTGCTTGGCAGGCTTTAAAAGCTTCCTTCTCTATTTTCCACAGACAAGGTCCAGGGTGATGAATTAAAGAGTGAAATGGAAGGAATGAGCTGAGAGATATGACACCTTGGGGCTAAAGAAAAGAACTGGTCTCAGCATGGAGGGAGGGGAGTGATCCAAGTGAAAATTCTTTTTCCACATCATTGCAACCTGAGTCCTAAAAAAAAGAAAGAAAGGAAAGGAAAGGAAAAAATCTGCCAGTTTTAAATGCAGGCAGATTTTAACACAAACAAGGAAAAAATTGCCCACTGTTTGCAAACTATAGCTATCTGAATAAACCACACTTTTATTGTTAAAGTCCCTACCACCACTATTCAGCGTAAGATTTTAAGGCAGCAAGGGAGCTCCCCCCAAAACCACATTCCATCAGTAAACCAGAGGAATGCATCAGTCAAGTCTGACATGTAATCTAAAGGCTCTCTGTCTCCTTTCTTCTCCCTAAAGCTGTGGGATGCCTGTCGCTTGCAATATGACACTGTATACTTTAGGATGGAATTATGCCCTGGGAATTATACACCTCTTTGTCTCATCGTTCAAACCACATGGCTTGCTATCAACTTTGAGTTTTGGAGGAACTACAAGACAGCAAAGGAGACCTCAAAATATTAAATATTCTCCATTAAAAGACAATGCAGGTTAACATAATCTAAATGTATACAGGGGAATTAAATTTGTGATCAATATTAACTATTTATTTAGTCAAAATGTTCTCAAAACAGGTCATGTAAGATAAAGTTGCTTGTAAATACGTTTCAAGAAAAGCTTCACCCAGGATGGATTTCAATATACAGAGGTTGCGCATTAGATCAGTGATGGAGAATAGGTTTCCTTGGACAGGAAGTCAATGTTACAGATTTCTGTATCTTGCTCAGCATCTTTGTTAAAGGTAGTTCTCAACTTAAGATCAGATGCTTAGCAATTGTTCAAAGTTCCAAGGACTCCCCAGAAATTCTTACAATCTGGCTCCAAACTTCCAATGATACCTCCTCCTCACAGTCAAGTTACTGCATGTCAGGTATATGGCAACCAGCTTGCATTGATGGTCATTGCCGCATCTTGCGATCAGCTGATCATGTTTTATGATGGTTTTCCCCCCCAAAAAACAGCATTTACTTCTAGTTTTGGACAAAACTGGCCCACATATTTTATCAGGTAAGGCTGTAAGTGAGCAATCTATGGAAGTGAAAATGAAGACGTTGCAGCTGCCTACCTTCATCACTCTGGCACCCCCTGTGACACAGACCTTCATATTTTCTCTAGATCAACAAGATTTTCATATGAACCACTCCACCCAGCTCTGTTTGTCATTCAACACAACCACTCCTCAGCATTTGGTGAAGAAACTGTATTTCCTATTAGGTTTTAATACTCCTTTATATAACTGGATACTTGATTTCCTTATTGACAGGCCCGTGTGTGTGTAAGTTGGAAGAAGTCTCCAACTCCATCTCCTTGAGTATAGGTTCCCCATAGGGCTGTGTCTTGAGTCCATTATTGTTCAGCTTGATGACCAACAATTGCTGTGCCGAATCTATCATATTGTGAAGTATGCAGATGACAGGGAAATGGTGGGTCTTATCCGGAACAATAGTGAAGTTGCTTATAGGGAAGAGATGAAGATTCTGGTGGACTGGTGCAATAAAAGTAACCTGGTTATAAATGTTAATAAAACAATGGAGATCATTCTAGATTTTAGAAAGAACTGAAATAGTCATACTCCACTCAGTATCAAGGATGCAGCTGTAGAAGTGGTCAACAGTATTAAGTATCTGGGGAGAGAAGTAACAATCTGAATTGATCTCTCTTCAGATCATTCGTAGTGAAGAATGCAAACCAGCGTCTGTATTTCCTGCATCGGATGAGGATAACATCTTTTTCCTTCCGTTTTGGCCGTTTTTTACAAAGGCATGATTGAGAGTGTTTTAATAAACAGCATCACTATTTGGTTTGGTGGTAGCAATGTGTCAGATAAAAGGTCCCTACAGAGAGTGGTAAGGACAGCTGAGAAGATGATAGAAAGCTTGCTTCCAGTTATTCAGGATATTGCTTATAAGTGCTATGTGCTTAGAACTCAAAGCTTTGTTAGACACCTCATACACGCACTCTACGGTCTGTTTCTGTTGCTCCCCTCTGGAAGGAGGTTTCGAAGTATTTCTATAGGACTACCGAGTCTGTAACAGTTTGTTCCCTACGTCATCCATCTGGTAAACTCACAAAATTCATTTTTCTCGCTATCTGCACGTATAGATCCCAACTAGACGGTTGTTCGTCTGTGTCATATAATATGTGGGCATATGGGTATATGCTTAATTATTTATTTATTTGTCATGTTTATGTAGTGTATAACTAAAGATGGTGACTCTGAGAACTGTATACAACAAAATTCATTTTAATGTATGTGGATTAAAACGACAGTAAAGTTATTCTAAGTCTTCTAGGTCTAAGTCTGTGATGGTTAATGACTAGAAGCAGCTGAGGGTGGGGACAAAAGTTCCACATTTAGCCAATAGGGAGATCCCATTAGATACTAAAAGTTAAGAGTTAATCTGATGAAAAAAATAAAATAAAACAAAAAGTCTGGAGTTTGACAGCCTGCAAACAAAACAAACAAACGATTTCAACTCAAAATTCTTCGGTGCCTAACTCTAAGCAAGTTACCCATCAGCCTGCATGTCGATAGCCCCAGATTCCTCGTTGTGCTTGTGAAGGGAAACAAGCATCACACATTTTGAATGCAAAAGGTAGTAAAAGCAAAGGCGGAAGATCCTCTCTGTGTTAATGGAATGTTTCAGAGAGCTGCCAAGAAGCAAAGCAGCAGACAAGCAAACATTATGTAATTCCACTTAGCAATTACATAGCCGCAGGAGCTTCTTGAAAAGAAAACAGTCCCAGAAACCACTGCTTCTCCAGATTCTTGCCTTCCCCTACAGAAGACAAAAAGAGATCCTCTCTATATTTTCAATCCCTTCAAATCACTGAGATATCTGGCAATGTTAATTTAAGAGAGAAAAATGTGGCATCTGCTATGACCAGAGCCCAGTACTACCTGGCTTTGAGGAGTA